AGTGCAGTGGCACGATCTCAGCTCACTGCAACTTCCACCCCCCAGGTTTAAGCACTTCTGTCTCAGCCTCCTGAATAGCTGGATTACAGGCACCTGCCACCATGCCCAGCTAATTTTTTGTTTTATTACAGATGGGGTTTCACCTTTGTTGGTCAGGCTGGTTTCAAACTCCTGACCTCGGGCTATCCACCTGCCTCAGCCTCCCAAAGTTCTGGGATTACAGGCGTGAGCCACCAAGCCCAGCCAATTCCAGAACTTTTTTTATTTTTTTGAGACGGAGTTTCACTGTTGTTACCCAGACTGGAGTGCAATGGCACAATCTCGGGTCACCACAACCTCCGCCTCCCGGGTTCAAGCAATTCTCCTGCCTCAGCCTCCAGAGTAGCTGGGACTACAGGCGCGCACCACCGTGCCCAGCTAATTTTTGTATTTTTAGTAGAGACAGGGTTTCACCTTGTTGACCAGGATGGTCTTGATCTCTTGACCTTGTGATCCACCCGCCTCGGCCTCCCAAAGTGCTGGGATTATAGGCGTGAGCCACTGTGCCCGGCCCCTCCAGAACATTTTTATCTCCCTGAAAAGAAATCTTGTCCTCATTAAGTAGTCACTCCCTGTTTCCCTTTCTTCTCAAACCCTTGCAGCCACTATTCTGCTTTCTGTCTCTGTGGTGTCATATATTTTATTGTCTTTTGTGTTTCACTTCTCTCGATCAGCATGTTTTCAAGATTTATCCTTGTAGCATATATCAGTACTGCATTTCTTTTTATGGCTTAATAATGTTCCATTTTATGTATACGGCACATTTTGTTTATGACTGGCAGTTTAGTAGCTTTGTTTACACCAGCATCACCACAGACTCTGAGTAATGCATTGTGCTTTGATGTTATGATAGCCATGATGCCACTAGACTGTAGGAATTTCTCTGCTCTGTCAGAGAAATTTTCTCAAAAGCCAGTAGCCTCATAGAAGGCTTTGTTATATCTTATGGGACCAGTGTTGTGAATGTGGTCCATTATTGACTGAAATGGCTTATGCAGTGCATGGCTATGATTTTTTGTGTGTGTGTGTGTATTCTTTATGTTTTTCCATGTATAAAATCCTATCATTTGTGAATAGTGATAGTTTTACTTTACAATTTGGATGCTCTTTCTTTCTTTCTTTCTTTTTTTTTTTTTTTTTTTTTTCCTAATTGATCTGGCTAGAACTTTTAGTATAATGTTGAATAGCAATGATGAAAACAGGCATACTTGTCTTGGTCCTGATCTTAGGGGAAAGCTTTCAGACAATCACTATTAACTACTTAGATCTTCATTATGCACAGATTATGTAATTGCGAATTTGCCTACTTGGTGAAATTTATTTGTAATGTCAAAATCAAAACTAATACTGCTTTCTTCTTCTTTTCTTTTTCTTCTTTTTTTCTTTCTTGAGACAAGATCTCTCTCAGTTGTCTAGGCTAGAGGGTTTTTTTTTTTGTTTTTCTTTTTTTCTTTCTTTCTTTTGACTCAGAGTCTTGCTCTGTCACCCAGACTGGAGTCAGTGGCATGATCTCGGCTCACTGCAACCTCCACCTCCCAGGTTCAAGCGATTCTTCTGCCTCAGCCTCCAGAGTAGCTGGGACTACAGGTGCCCACCACCACGCATGGCTAATTTTTTTTTAATTTTTAGTAGAGATGGGTTTTGCCATATTGACCAGGCTGGTCTCAATTTCCTGTCTTGTGATCCACCCACCTCATCCTCCCAAAGTGCTGGGATTACGGACATGAGCCCGTAGGGTTTTTTTTTAAGGAAACATAAAAGGAACCCTGAAGTTAAAATTCATATAGTTAATTGACAAATTCGTTGTTTTAACAAGACTTTTTCTTTAAGCGTTTTCACAAGTTTTACGAGGACTTTAAATGTGCTTTTTATAAGTAAAGACTAGTGGCAAGTTATAAGAAAATTATAATAATTACTTTTTTAAAGTTAATAAATTATCAAAGCAGAGTCCATTTTAATTTTTAGTGATTATTGCAGAGGGTATTGAGTGAATAGCTTTGTAACTTTCCACAAGAAAGCCATACTTTAGACAGCTGGAAATAAAACCCTAGATTTTAAGGTTTTTTTCATGTAATGGACTATGGTTTTTGGATGCCATCTTTATTATTTTATTTTTCATACCAAATCTAATATTATCTCTTTTGTATTTAGGTTCGATTGGTGATAGTGGATGGTATTGCTTTTCCATTTCGTCATGACCTAGATGACCTGTCTCTTCGTACTCGGTTATTAAATGGCCTAGCCCAGCAAATGATCAGTCTTGCGAATAATCACAGATTAGCTGTAAGTATTAACTAGTGAAGAGAGTTATACAACAAAGTAAAGACTGTATAAAATGTTCATGTCAAAATGTATAAAATGAAAGGCCGGGCGCGGTGGCTCAAGCCTGTAACCCCAGCACTTTGGGAGGCCGAGGCGGGTGGATCACGAGGTCAAGAGATCAAGACCATCCTGATCAACATGGTGAAACCCCGTCTCTACTAAAAATACAAAAAATTAGCTGGGTATGGTGGCACGTGCCTGTAATCCCAGCTACTCAGAAGGGTGAGGCAGGAGAATTGCCTGAACCCAGGAGGCGGAGGTTGCAGTGAGCCAAGATCGCACCGTTGCACTCCAGCCTGGGTAACAAGAGCAAAACTCCGTCTCAAAAAAAAAAAAATGTATAAAATGAAATAGCAAGATAGCATTTGCCTGAGTAATAAATAATATAGACATGCAGTTTTGAGTAAAGTTTCTGTTTGGTTTGGTTTCTATTAAAAAATTCTAGTCATAAATGTCAGTTTTTCTTCAAAAAACAAGCATAATTAATATGTCATTTTAAAAAATAGACTTTGTAGCCAGGCACAGTGACCCACACCTGTTATCCCAGCACTTCCAGAGCCAAGGCAGGCAGATCACAAGGTCAGGAGTTGAAGACCAGCCTGGCCAATATTGTGAAACCCTGTCTTTTTACTAAAAATAAAAAAAATTGGCCAGGCATGGTGGCACATGCCTGTAATCCCAGCTACTTGGGAGGCTGAGGCAGGAGAATTGCTTGAACCCAGGAGGCGGAGGTTGCAGTGAGCCAAGATGGCACCATTGCACTCCAGCCTGGGCAACAAAGTAAGACTTTATCTCAAGAAAAAAAAAAATGAACTTTGTTTGATAAAGAAGTCCCACCTTTATTAATTGCAGTGTCTTCTTTGTTTAAATAAACTTTGGATGTTTTTCAGGTCAACTCTTCCAACATCCCTGGTTTTCTTTTACTCCGAGTCTTTGATTATTATGTAATATATAATCACAGATTAAGATGGATTTAAACATTACATAGTGTAAACAACCTAGATGATTTGAGGTAGAGCTAAATAACTCTTGAAGATTTGAAATGTGAGGAGAGAAGTAAATATAGGCTCAGAAGTGAAGAGTTTTGTATTTTTTTTTTTTTTTGAGACGGAGTCTCACTCTGTTGCTCAGGCTGGATTGCAGTGGTTTGTGATCTTGGCTAGCTGCAGCCTCCGCCTTCCAGGTTCAAGCAGTTCTCTGCCTCAGCCTCCTGGGTAGCTGGGATTACAGGCGCTTGCCAAAATGCCCAGCTTATTTTTTTGTATATTTAGTAGAAATGGCATTTCACCATCTTGGCCAGGCTGATCTTGAACTCCTGACCTTGTGATCCACCGACCTCAGCCTCCCAAAGCGCTGGGATTACAGGCATGAGCCACCACACCCTACCTATATCTATATCTATCTATCTATCTAACTATATTTATATATTTTTAAAGTTTTGCCTTACTCCTTTTTAACTGCCTGTTTGCCATTACTTCCCATTCTGAAACCGCATCTCACCATTGATACAAATATACACACTTGTCTGGGAGTAAGATATAAGAAGGTCAGACTGCTTAGCTTGATTTCTTTGTCCTTACCTTAATTAGAGAGACCTTAGCGCGTGCTTGTAATACATCATAAGTAAATAAAGAACTTCCCCAATAAAATCATTTCAAAGCAACTTTTTTCTTTGAATTTCCAGATTTTTGCCATATGCTGAAAAGCATAGTGTCCCATGTTTGAATTACTTCTTGCTTAAATTAATTGTAATTTAGCATTTTGTTAATGTCAGTTAAGAGCTCCCAGTAGGGGGCACTCAAGACTAATGGGTTGCATAATTCCTTATTTTGTTGTTGTTGTTTTGTTTTGTTTTTGAGATGGAGTTTTGCTCAGTTGCCCAGGCTGGAGTGCAGTGGCATGATCTCAGCTCACTGCAACTGGGAGGCAGAGGGCCTCCCAGGTTCAAGCAATTCTCCTGCCTCAGACTCCCGAGTAACTGGGACTACAGGTGAAAGCCACCACACCCAGCTAATTTTTTGTATTTTAGTAGAGACAGGGTTTCACCGTGTTGCCCAGGCTGGTCTTCAACTCCTGAGCTCAGGCAATTCGTTCGTTTCTGCCTCCCAAAGCATTGGGATTACAGGTGTGAGCTACTGCACCTGGCTCCTTATGTTATTATTTTAACAGAAATAGCTTCATCTTGTCTGACTAAAAAAGCAATCCAAACAATAACATCAAATAGTAGGTAGTGTTTAAGAAGAGTGCTGTAAATATAAACGTTCTAACATGGAAGAAGATACATACAGATATATTATTGAGAAAATTTAAGTTGTATATAAAATATATTTAGTGTAATCCCACGTTAGAGAAAACTTGAAATTATATGTATGCATTTATATTTGTATATATGAAGAGAAAGATCTGAAAGGACCAAAACATTAACAGTAGCTACTTCTTTTTTATTTTTTTGGATACGCAATCTTACTGGAGTGCAGTGGTGCAATCAAGGCTCACTGTAGCATCAACATCCCAGGCTCAAGTGACCCTCGCACCTCAGCCTCCCTAGTAGCTGAAACTACAGGCGCATGTCACCATGCCTGCTTAATTTTTGTACTTTTTTTTTTTAATAGAGATGGGGTTTCCATCATGTCTCCCAGCTGCTCATTAACTCTTGGGCTCAAGCAATCATCTGCTTACCTTAGCCAAAGTGCTTGGATTACATGCATGAGCCACTGTGCCCAGCTTTGGTTACTTCTAAGGATAGGATTTTGTGGGGTCAGGGACACACTTTCCCCCTCTTACTTTATAAATTCTTTGCTTGAAGGTTCTTTTCCCCCAAGTTAGCATATATATATATATAACATGTATGGCTTTTGATAATGTGTTTTATAATTTTAAGGTCAGATGTGGTGGCTCACACCTATAGTCCCAGCACTTTTGGAAGGCCAAAGTGGGAAGATCGCCTGAAGCCAGGAGTTTGAAACCAGCCTGGACGACAAAGCCTGACCCTATCTCTTAAAAAAAAAATACATAAACTAAGAATAATTGTCCAGGCAAGGTAGCTCATGCCTGTAATCCCAGCACTTTGGGAGGCTGAGGCAGGCAGATCATGAGGTCAGGTGTTTGAGACCAGCCTGACCAACAAGCTGAAACCCCGTCTCTACTAAATATACCAAAATTATCCAGGCATGCTCCTGTAATCCCAGCTACTCGGGAAGCTGAGGCAGGAGAATCGCTTGAACCCAGGAGGCGGAGATTGCAGTGAGCTGAGATCACACCTCTGCACTCTATCTAGCCTGAGCAACACAGCGAGACTCCATCTCAAAAAGAAAAGAAAATAATAATTTTAAGGTATTTTTTGTTTATTTTTTTTTGAGACAGACTGTTGTCCAGGCTGGAGTGCAATGCCTGATCTCAGCTCACTGCAGACTCTGTCTCAAGAAAAAAAAAAAAGAATATTGTATGCTTTTTTTTCTTTTTTTTTGAGATGGAGTCTAGCTCTGTCGTCCATGCTGGAATGCAGTGGCACAATCTTGGCTCACCACAACCTCTGCCTCCCAGGTTCAAGCGATTCTACTGCCTTAGCCTCCCAAGTAGCTGGGATTACAGGTGCATGCCACCAAGCCCAGATAATTTTTGTATTTATAGTAAAGATGGGGTTTCACCATGTTGGTCAGGCTGGTCTTGAACTCCTGACCTCGTGATCTACCCACCTCAGCCTCCCAAAGTGCTGGGATTATAGGCATGAGCCACTGCATCAGGCCCATGTATGCTTTTTGTTAAAAAAAAAAAAAAAAGTTCTAAACAATAAAAAAATGCAGAAAGTGATTATTCATTACGTAGAAATGATGTAAATATTGTTATCTGGTGTAAATATTTTTTTTTGACTTTATGCATATACAAACTTACTTTTTAGAAAATGAGGTCATGCCAAAACAGTGGCTTATGCCTGTATCCAGCACTTTGGAAGGCCAAGGTCACTTGAGCCCATGAGTTTGAGACCAACCTGGGAAATACAGTGAGACTTCGTCTCTACAATTTTTTTTTTTTTTTTTTTTTTGAGAGGGAGTCTTGCTCTGTTGCCTAGGGTAGAGTGCAGTGTGCTATCTTGACTCACTGCAACCTCCAGCTTCTGGGTTCAAGTGATTCTCCTCCCTCAGTCTCCTGAGCAGCTGGATCACAGGTGTGCACCACCACACTGGGCTAATTTTCTTTATTTTTAGTAGAGATGGGGGTTTCACCATGTTAGCCAGATGGTCTCAATCTCCTGACCTTGTGATCCACCAGCCTCAGCCTCCCAAAGTGCTGGGATTACAGGTGTGAGCCACCCTGCCTGGCCAATTTTTTAAAAATGTTAGCCAAGTATAATGGCATGAACCTATAGACCTAGCTACTTGGGAGGGTGAGGTGGGAGGATTGCTTGAGGCTGGGAGGCGGAGGTTGCAGTGAGTCAAGAACATACCACTGTGCTACAGCCTAGACAACAGAACAAGACCTTACCTCCAAAAACACAAAAAGAAAAAGAAAATGTGGTCATATACATGCTATTTTGCAAAGCAGCTTTCTGTTTTTCGCTTAATACAGTATGAACATTTTTTATGTACACTACTTTTTTTGTTTTGTTTTCTATGTACACTACTTATAAGTCTGCTTTACACTAACAGCTATGTAGTATTTTGTTGTATGACTGTAGCATAGGATTTTTTTGTATTTGTTTTTAGGTTTTTTTTTTTTTTAGACGGGTTCTTGCTCTGTCACTCAGGCTGGAGTGCAGTGGCATGATCTTGATTCACTGCAGCCTCAATCTCCTGGGCTTAAGCAATCCTTTCAGCTCAGCCTCCTGTGTAGCTGGGACTACAGGCACACACCACCACACCCAGCTGATTTTTAAATTTTTGGTAGAGGCCAGGTGCGGTGGTTCACACCTGTAATCCCACCACTTTGGGAGGCTAAGGCAGGCGGATCACTTGAGGTCAGGA